GGTGTGGATGACTGACACACAAGAAGAACAAACAAATGTAAAAAAAAAAAAATGTAAAAAAAGAAAAAAAATGTTAAAAAAAAATCGCAGGCTTTGCGATTTAATAATCGCATCATTTAAAATCGCGATTTCGATTTAAAATCGATTCATCGTTCAGCCCTATGGTAGACTCATCAGAACAGAGTGGGCGAGCTGACCAATCAGAGCACAGTGGGCTCACAGGGAGGGGGGGGGGCAGGAGCTCCAACAAGCCGTGTAGGACAGAGAGTGAATACACATACTTTACAGAGATGCTGTTTGAGAAACCAAAAAATGGAACAATGTAAATCTATTCTAGTAGACCTCAACAATGGAATTATGATCATTATAAATGGCCATGACATGGGACCTTTTAAAAAATTACAAATTCTGAAATAAAATCTGAAAAAAGGTAACTTTTCAAAATTCAGATTGGTCAGATCTCAAGAAAAAAAATCACACATTGCCCTAATCTTCTCATATGTACGATATCTGCACGAAAAACAAGTCGCAATAGACTGTGATGATACTGCCATAAGGTTTTGAAATACAGTAAAACTGCAAAACACTGCAGTTCAAATGTAGCTGTCATTCCCTTTTTTATTTTGGTTCCTTTTGTGAAAAAATGATATCCTTTCATTATTTCAATCAACAAGTATTCTCCATTATAGCAGTTTTCTCATAGCAAAAGAGTGCACTTTAATATCTGTTTATTCATCCAAAGTAACATGTGCACCAACTGGATAATATAATTTGAAAAGCAGGTTGTATAAGTATAGGTTGTACTCTAAAAGTTTTCCAGGAGTCACATCTGTTGTTGTTTATTTTAATCTGTTTACCTGTTTGTGGAGGCAGATTAAATTGCTGTTGGGTGCAACAGAGGAAACGAGACACACCTGTGCGCTGTCAAAAAGAAAGAGAGAGGATATTCTCTGCATTACAGACGTGTCGATGAAGGTTTGAGTTGTGATGAGAGCTCCATATCCTCAAGTGTCCTTTTCCCAGAAGCCTCCTTTAAAAGCCCACTGGTCCTCTTTGTCTTTTGCATTTGTGATATAATGATGGAGTGCTTTTCCAAGTGCTCAGCATACTTTTGTAGAGTGTGAAATTCTGTCAACTTGAGGTACAGGTGCCACAGCATTCAGCTTTAGAGCCATATTTACCCACTTGTTATCAGTATTATCCTTCCATGCCACTTCATACATCTACTCTACAATTTAAAGGGAAATAGTGTACCTTTTTCGTCACTACATATACTTTTAAAAGAGGCTCTATTGTGCTTTTTGGGCTGTTTCCCGGCATGTAAATGGTCTGCAAAGGCTCAAACCCCTGTGTTCCCCCCTGCCTGAAACTCCTCCATTGGACTCCTTAGTTTACTTCCTGAAAATAGTGTCATCGCTATGTATGGCTATGTATGGCTATGTATGGGCTATGTATCGCTATGTATCGCTATCGCTATGTATCGCTATCGCTATGTATCGCTATGTATCACTATGTATCGCTATGTATCGCTATGTATCGCTATCGCTATGTATCGCTATGTATCACTATGTATCGCTATGTATCGCTATGTATCGCTATGTATGGCTATGTATCACTATGTATCGCTATGTATCGCTATGTATCGCTATCGCTATGTATCGCAATGTATGGCTATGTATGGCTATGTATCGTTATGTATTGCTATGTATCGCTATGTATCGCTATGTATGACTATGTATCGCTATGTATCGCTATGTATGGCTATGTATCACTATGTATCGCTATGTATCACTATGTATCGCTATGTATCGTTATGTATCGCTATGTATCGCTATGTATGGCTATGTATGGCTATGTATGGCTATGTATCGCTATGTATCGCTATCGCTATATATCGCTATCGCTATGTATCGCTATCGCTATGTATCGCTATGTATCGCTATGTATGGCTATGTATGGCTATGTATGGCTATGTATCGCTATGTATCGCTATGTATGGCTATGTATGGCTATGTATGGCTATGTATGGCTATGTATGGCTATGTATCGTTATTAGGGCTGTCAAGTTAACGCGTTATTAACGCGTTAACGCAACAAATTAATGCCACTAATTATTTTAACGCGATTAACGCATGTGTATTTTTTTTCCTCGGCCGCCCCGTAGTTTCAGAGCGCATCGAGTTTAAAATACCATCTACAAGCTGATGCTGACAGCCCCGCTCCTGCCGCCCGCTTGTGGCAGACCACACTTCCACACTCACCGGCAGGCACCGACTGGCTGTTGGGAGGACCGGGAGGGTGTGTGTATGTGTGGCCCGAGCGAGCGAGAGAGAGACCTTACGTGCATTGTTGTTGTTAGCATCTGGGGCTAGCTAGCTGCGCTAACGGATATGGAGCTGTTTAAATGAAAACAGAGGAGCGACATTTCGCCACAACTGCGCCGAGCACTTGACTTCATGCAGGAAGCCAGACAGTGGGACATTGTACGAAAAGTCAGCACACTCAGCACGGATAGCGCAACATGATTGCAGCGTCCAGGCAGCTCCCGTTCGAACATATGCCTTGAGTTGCACATAGCTCCAACGATCCATCACACACACACACACACACACACACACACACACACACACACACACACACACACACACACACACACACACACACACACACACACACACACACACACACACACGCGCACACACACACACACACACCATTTGTATTGTATTATTGAATGAGAGGTTCCAGGTTGAATTGAGGCGAATATTTGTAATGTTCAGAGGTCGTTGTGTTTAGTATTCATGAGAATATTTGTCATTGTTCAAATGATAATAAACATTAGCATAAAGCATATTTGTCCACTCATATGTTGATAAGAGTATTAAAAACTTGAAAAATATTCCTCTAAGGTACATTTAGAACAGATCAAAAATGTGCGATTAATTTGCGATTAATCGCGATTAACTATTTTAATCGACTGACAGCCCTAATCGTTATGTATCGCTATGTATGGCTATGTATCACTTGCGCTCATTGGCTAGCGCTCCAACACAATGTACGTGATAGGCTAAGGGGCGGGACATCTCTAAACTGAATTCTGACCCACTCACTTAGTAAAAATACAATAACGTAAAATGTATTTAGTCGCCTAAGATTTCTTTAGCACATAGGTGATTCGTTATACATTTTAACATGTTTATTTCTATAAACTCATGAGCATATTTCTAGTAAACACAAGATTTAAAGTGGTTAATTTGCTAAATGTTGTGCAGAGAATTTCAGCTTAACAGATCTGTCGATTAAATCAATGAATCAATTAGTTTGTTTAGACCACTGAAGACAGTCCTGCTATATACTCCCATCCTCCATCCGTCAAAACATCCATCTATTAATCATTTGCTGTGTCTCTCCAACTATCTCTTCATTAAAATTCTGTTTTGTTCTGCTTGAGAAGTAAGTTCTGTAATACCCGATCAAGCTGAAGAGGCAGCAGAAAGAAGCAGAAAGACCACCTCTCCTCCACCCTTTGAAAAACCTGCTGTTACCATAGAGATACTTTCCTCCAACCACAGTCTTCATCTTGTCACACTTTTTACAACCGAGAATCTCACATCCCAGACAACTTAATCCCCTTCCCACCTGAAGGCTTACAGCGAGCATCTGGGAACCCCCCTGCTTATAATAGACATCCTGATTCTTGGTGTACAATCGTCTGATTTCTCAGAAAAAAAGTCTCATTATGACAATCAATCAATATGTTGAAGTCCACCCATGACATTTGAAATGTTTCCTCAGAATTTGGACTTTTCTCAGAATTTAGACTTATTTCAGAATTTAGACTTATTTCAGAATATTTCTCTCAGATCTTTGAAAAATGTTCTCAGTATTTTGACTTTTGTCAGAATATTTGGAATACTGGAAGGTCACCAGTTCAAGTCCCGGCAAGACCAAGTGCTACCGAGGTGTCCCTGAGCAACGCACCGTTCCCTACACTGCTCCCCGGGCGCCGTTCAAAATGGCAGCACACTGCTCCTAACAATAAGATGGGTCAAATGCAGAGAAACAATTTCCCAACGGGATTAATAAAGTATATCAATATCAATCAAATTTTTATGTTTTCTCAGAACTTTTTTCTCTGATTTTTGAAAAATAATTCTCAGCATTTTGACTTTATTGAATTCTTAATGGTTGTGCACTTTTTAAAAAACAGCACAGTTTGAATTTTTTTTTGGAGTTTTTGTCTCAGAATTTTCACTTTTATTATTCTTATTAAGTCTATTTAAAATCAGCACAGAGGTTTAACTCCACCCCAAAACGTGATAGGCATCTGGATGAGAGTACGGGAAAAGAGATGGACTAAACAGCATTCTGACTTTTTTCAGATAATTTTTACTTTTTTTCGCATTATTTTACTTTTTTTCTCAGCATTTTGACATTTTGTCAGAATGCTGACTTTTTTTAAATGTCGACTTTTCTCAGATTTTTGAAATTTTTTCTCAACATTTTAACTTTTTTCTCAGAAAGATTGACTCTCTTTCAGAATGTTGACTTTTTTCAGAATTCTGAGTGGGTGTGCACTATTTTGCATCTACGACACCTGCTTATCATAGACATCCAGATCAACTTCAAAACTTCCCCAGTCTTGGTGTACAATAATCTGATTCCTCTGCATTTCTCTTATTATGACTATTTAAAAAACAGCACAGAGTTTGCACTCCACCCCGAGGAGTGATAGGCATCTGTATGAGAGCAGGCTGCAGGAAGAGAGCTGGGCAAACACAGCATTTCAGTGTCGTGACCGAGAACAGAGACAAGACACAGCCGCTGCATACAAACTACCAACGCTATCTCATCACTCTGTGAACCCTCCGCTGCACTTTCAGTCTGCTCCAACATGCTGACATGGAGGAAACAACAACAACAACGCAGGAAAACACACACATCCCCCCTCCCTCCTTTCTTTCTCTATCTGAATAATAAGTAGAATATCACAGACTTACTCAGAGACTGCTACAGCTGACAGCTTTTCTCCGAAGCTACTCAGATACGGCACCTCCTCGTCCAGTAAGCCCGATCATGTGGGGTCTCCCTGGGAAGCCACCAGCCAGAATGAGAGCTTCGCTGGTTCATCAAATTTGGGGATGTCATCCTCACTGAGGGGGAGAGTGGGGGGTGGGAGAGAGAGAGAGAAAGGGAGAGAGAGATGTGTTGTGGCAGAGATTACAGAGCGAGTGGAGGAGAGACAGAGGAATGGTATTGTAGAGAAATGCAGCAGATCACATACTGTAGAGCGAGAGGAAGATCCCACCTCTCTCTCTCTCCCTCTCTCTCTCCCTCTCTCTCTCTCCCTCTCTCCCTCTCTCTCTCTCCCTCTCTCTCTCTCCCTCTCTCTCCCTCTCCTCTCTCCTCTCCTCTCTCCTCTCTCTCTCTCTCTCTCTCTCTCTCTCTCCTCTCTCCTCCCTCTCTCCCTCTCTCTCTCTCTTTCTCCTTCCTCCTCTCCTCGTACTGCAGCAGCCGTCACTAATCACACTGATTTATTCTGTTTGACACTCAGCTCACAAACTACTGAACATGAAGTCTACTCTAATTGTGCGGCTCATTAGACTCACCACAATAAGCCGTAACACACCTCCACATGATGAGCAGAAGAGAGGCTGTGATGAAGAAGAGGAGGAGGAAGTATTACTGCAAGAATCATCTGCAAGTAAACAAGAACATTTCAATTGAAATGCAAATGCATGAAGGCTGTATGTATGTAATGAGATGCTTTCATATAAATGCATGTAAACAGAGGTGCAAGAAGTACTCAGACCTTGTAGTAAAAGTAGAAGTACTCAGACCTTGTAGTAAAAGTAGAAGTACTCAGACCTTGTAGTAAAAGTAGAAGTACTCAGACCTTGTAGTAAAAGTAGAAGTACTCAGATCTTGTAGTAAAAGTAGAAGTACTCAGACCTTGTAGTAAAAGTAGAAGTACTCAGACCTTGTAGTAAAAGTAGAAGTACTCAGATCTTGTAGTAAAAGTAGAAGTACTCAGATCTTGTAATTGAGTAAAAGTAGAAGTACTCAGATCTTGTAATTGAGTAAAAGTAGAAGTACTCAGATCTTGAGTAAAAGTAGAAGTACTCAGATCTTGTACTTGAGTCAAAGTAGAAGTACTCAGGTCTTGTACTTGAGTAAAAGTAGAAGTACTCAGATCTTGTACTTGAGTAAAAGTAGAAGTACTCAGATCTTGTAATTGAGTAAAAGTAGAAGTACTCAGATCTTGAGTAAAAGTAGAAGTACTCAGATCTTGTACTTGAGTCAAAGTAGAAGTACTCAGGTCTTGTACTTGAGTAAAAGTAGAAGTACTCAGATCTTGTACTTGAGTAAAAGTAGAAGTACTCAGATCTTGTACTTGAGTAAAAGTAGAAGTACTCAGATCTTGTACCTGAGTAAAAGTAGAAGTACTCAGATCTTGTACTTGAGTAAAAGTAGAAGTACTCAGATCCTGTACTTGAGTAAAAGTAGAAGTACTCAGATCTTGTACTTGAGTAAAAGTAGAAGTACTCAGATCTTGTAGTTGAGTAAAAGTAGAAGTACTCAGATCTTGTACTTGAGTAAAAGTAGAAGTACTCAGATCTTGTACTTGAGTAAAAGTAGAAGTACTCAGATCTTGTACTTGAGTAAAAGTAGAAGTACTCAGATCTTGTACTTGAGTAAAAGTAGAAGTACTCAGATCTTGTAGTTGAGTAAAAGTAGAAGTACTCAGATCTTGTACTTGAGTAAAAGTAGAAGTACTCAGATCTTGTACTTGAGTAAAAGTAGAAGTACTCAGATCTTGTACTTGAGTAAAAGTAGAAGTACTCAGATATTGTACTTGAGTAAAAGTAGAAGTACTCAGATCTTGTACTCTAGTAAAAGTAGAAGTACTCAGATCTTGTACTTGAGTAAAAGTAGAAGTACTCAGATCTTGTACTTGAGTAAAAGTAGAAGTACTCAGATATTGTACTTGAGTAAAAATAGAAGTACTCAGATCTTGTACTTGAGTAAAAGTAGAAGTACTCAGATCTTGTACCTGAGTAAAAGTAGAAGTACTCAGATCTTGTTCTTGAGTAAAAGTAGAAGTACTCAGATCTTGTACTTGAGTAAAAGTAGAAGTACCAGAGTGTAGGAATACTCTGTCACAGTAAAAGTACTGCATTCAAAATGTTCCTCAAGTGAAAGTAGAAAAGTATTCTCATCTAAATATAGTGAAAGACAGTGAAAGTAGTCGTTGTGCAGATTGGTCCATTTCAGAATAATATATATGATATGTTTTATAATGATTGATCATGAAAGTGTTCTCAAAGCTGGTAAAGGTGCAGCTAGTCTGAAGGACTTTGTATACTGCAGGGTAGCTGGTGGATTTACTCCATGTCACAACAAGGCCTCCAGAGTCCAGGCTCACCTCAGGTTTCTGGTTTTAATGCTACTGTGAGCCAAGTGACACGTCACCGTGATACTGCACACATATAGTGACAGATCTCTCACACTCACACACACACACACACACACACACACACACACACACACACACACACACACACACACACACACACACACACACACACACACACACACACACACACACACACACACACAGATGGCTGGCAAGCATCAGTACATCAGCGCAGAAGAACAGACCAAATGTACAAGGAGTGTTACAGTAATCAGAGGCAGACGCTGACACTTCAGGTGAATGGGGTAAAATAAAGAACTAATAGATATCAACATGAAGCTTCCTGAGTTGAACAAGGACACTAAGAGAATAAGTTATTGTATTGCAAGTTTTCCGACATATTCAATTTAAATATGCAAATGAGGCCTTATCGTGTCAAGTGCTTGTTAACATATTAATACATTTCAAGAACCAAAATGTGAACATTGATGTACTTCATGTTTTAAAAATACTGTTTTATTTTGTTGACATATTGAAGTCAAAGGTCTTTACAGAACTCTTTGTATCATTCCATAGATCAATTGTATGCATTTGTTGAGTTTTAAAGTGTTTCTAAATGAGTGTGTGTTTGGTGTCAGCTTCTGTAAAAAGCTTCAGGATAGAGAGAGGAATGAGGGTGTAGAGTTTGGTGTGTGTAACGAAGCCTACACACGGCGGCGTGCGTTGCCGCTTCAACGCTTCTGCCCATTCACTTTGAATGGGGTGACGTCACGATTCGCCGAACTGCATTGTGGGAGCAAAGTGTAGCTTCTCTCGCGGTGCTCGCTGCAAAAGTAGAGCAATGTTCTACTTTTGCCGCCTCGATGGAGGCGTCAGCCAATCAAATCCCGCGTATGCAAATCTGACATTACAAGCGCTAGCCAATCAAACCGCGCGTATGTTGGGAGAGCCAGACCGCAGTTATTTCACATGTCAAAAAATGGAGGAGGAAATTATCGTGGCGTTAGGGAATCACCCGGTACTATATGACCAGTCCCTCTTTACATACAGGGATACAAACCGGAGGAGCCAGGCATGGGGGGAGGTGGCAGAGACAGTGGGTGAAACTGGTAGGTTTTCACCTGTTTGGGGAGTTTATATCCAGTGTACTTCGTTTGAATGGACAGCTAGCAAGCATAGACAGTATATTTAGCCAGCATCGATGTAGCATGAATGCTTTGCTTTGTATGTCCGGGGCGGGACATTCATGTGATTGGTTGTTGGTCGCGTTGTTCGTAAAAAAATCCCCAAGCTTCAGACACGCCCACCGCCAAGCGGTAATGCACGCCGCTGTGTGTAGGCTCCGTAACGGTACGTCCACACTGCAGCTTTTCAAAAATCTTGAAAATCTTGGAGCTGGGCGTGTCTGAAAGCTTGGGGATTTTTTGCGAGCAACGAGACCAACAACCAATCACATGAATCTCCCGCCCCCGACATACAAAGCAAAAAACCCCGGGGATTTTATGCGAGCAATATATATATATATATAAACTCCCCAAACAGGCGAAAACCTACCAGTTTCACCCACTGTCTCTGCCACCTCCCTCCATGCCTGGTTCCTCCGGTTTGTATCCCGTTAATAGTTCTGGTCGTAAAGAACCGGGTGATTTGCTACCGTAATTTCTCGTTTGGAATATGAGGAAATGAACTGCGGTCTGGCTCTCCCTGCTTACATGCGGTTTGATTGGCTAGCGCTTCTACTGTCAGATTTGCATAATCGGGATTTGATTGGCTGACGCTTCCAGCTCACCTTCAAAAGTAGAACATTGCTCAATTTTGAATCCTGAAAATCCTGGAAATCTTCGCTTCGCTCCCCCACAATGCAGTTCGGCGACAAGCGAGGCAAAGTGACGTCATCCCCATTCAAAGTCAATGGGCAGAGAAGCGTTGGAAGCGGTTGAAGATTTGTTTAAAGCTGCAGTGTGGACGTACCGTAAGAGCTAATGAAGTGGCGATTTCGGCTGAGAGAGGACATAAACAGCCTTTAAACGGTTTGCATTATAAAAGCCCATTCAAGAGACTACAGCTGAATAGGATACACTTCTTTAAATAATAAAAGACACAATGTTCCCAGGTAATTACTCGCATGAAGACAATTCCTTTTGGTATTTCATGCTTTCTGAAATGCTGTGTTTGAATATGCAGATGAGGCATTATCTAGCGATAACCCTTGGTGAATTCAGGAGATATTTACTGACACAAATAGACAAAGTTAGTCAAATTAATAACGGGATGTTTTCTTTCTAATAGTCAGCGGAGAAGACATGTTACGGACATTGAAAAACACAATATCACAACCTGCAGTTTCTCCCCTTTAAACCTGTAAAGTCATGTAAAAACCTTTGCTTGGTTGTATAACAATAAAGAGTAATGTGTAAGTAAAGTATACCCAATAGACTGAATATATAAACGTATTTACCCATAAACGGTCCAGGAAACAGATGAAGCCTCCACTATCTCACCTCCATCTTCTACCTTTTTGCTCAGTTGCTTCAGTCAGGTTTGATGGAGGCAGACAGATCTGTGTCCGGACAAATCATCAATCAATCAATGTTTCTTTAGCCCAATATCACAATGTTACCTTTGTCTCAGTGGACTTCACAGTTTGTAGAGTATCAGTATGACAATACGACCATACTTGACAACCGTCCCGATTTCATAGCCCTCTCCCGGTTTCCTCATATTTCTCCCGCATTTCTCCCAATCTTCAGTACCTGCCTTGGACTAGCTTTCTTTATTAAACACATTGAAACTTTATTTGTGTCAGTGTCTGTTTTGGGGTCCTAAGTAGTATCCAAACCCCACAGC